CGCCAATCTTATGTCTACTCATGTTGCTCACACTGTATCGCAGGTAAATATTCTTTTGTAGACTGCCGATCGAATCCCATTTACGAATTATTCTCCTACAAAATCCTGATTCAGTCGAACCCTTTCATCATGACATGCCAGTGACAATGGCCTGGTTATCTTCGGAAATTTATAATACATCGTTTGCCAAGTATTCAGTCGATTTTTGTTATGTTTTAAAAGGTCATTTAGCGTAGAAATTTTCACCGCAACTTTTCCAGTCCTCTCGTCAAAGGGATGTGATCGATTTTTACAACGTCTGCTGAGAATTTTATAATGTTTGAATAAATTTAAAGCAGTGGGATAAGCCATATGTGTTCGTCCGCCTATTTAAAAAACTTTTTTTCCAGATTTCTGAATTTTGGAAGAGACATTTAATATTTTGTAAAAATTCGAAACTAAAAGACGGGGAATTTTTGTTTTTTTCTTGATCATGTTAAGAGTTGAACAGTCTAGCAATATGTGGAGTGAAAGGTATAATCGTCATATGCGTGAGTGAAATTCACTGAGTGGGAAGTTTTGCTACTGATAATCGTTATAAATTGAGCATCCGTGAAAGAAACCGCTGAAACGGTGTCTGGAGGTAGTGTACTAGATTGTGACAAAACTTTCCTGGCCGATTTGATGCATTTTGATTCATGTTCTCGTTCACCAGCGCACCGTAGCATCTCCTAGCTGGATTTTGTTTACTTCACTAGGTCCTTTTCATCAGTTCACTGTGATTGTCTCTTAATGACAAGAACTAATCGGAGCAAAGATGCTATGTTCAAGCACATATTCAATCTAGGAGATACCAGCATTCCAAGTATTTTTTCGACCATACTTGCATACAAAAGTCTGTTAGTTCCATTGTGGAATTCGATTTTAAAAGTGGTATTAATAAATCTGCTAAAGGCGCGCTGGCGTTCCGTTCACAGTTTACATTAAGGTTCCGAATGGATGGTTATTCTATCTGCTCTTTCTGACGATTATTGCTGTGTTTGTGCTGTTATCAGTGGTATTGTTATTGAGTATGATAACGCGATGCAATGAAGTGTTCAGACTAATCAAACAGTCCCGCACCTCTGGTCAGCTCACTATTTCACTTCTCTTCCCTACGCCAAATCAATTGCTATCATTTGATATTATTGCAAGATGTCACTGAGTTAGCTGAACAGGTCTTTGTTTACTCTCTGTTGGAGAATTTCTGTTTGT